GGGCGGGGACCCCCCCCCCCAAAAAAAAAAAAAAAAAAAAAAAAAAAATCCATGTGGTGATACTAGACAGTATGGGAGGAGGATGGGAAATGGGGAAGGGAGAGAAGGCAGGGAATCAATGGGAAAAAGAAAGAAGCAAAACATTTTAGGGACACAAATAATGGAAAATATTCTGTCGACGATAAGAGTGCACACGAATATCTTTGGCTGAACAGATATAACGTATTTATGACGGGGAGAATTAATGAAAACAAATCCCAAGTTGGATCCCAGTAAGACTAACAAAGCCTGACCAGTCTTTCTAGAGCCGGCATCTTTCCAAGTCCACAAGAAGTGAGGACTACAGTTTCACCAGCCTGCCCACTCACCCTCACTCAGCAGTAGTGAGCCCTGTTTCAGGATTCGCATGGTGGACCCCGCTTTCTTGGTGCAGTTGTAGTGAACAGAGCTGCCGTGCTGGACGCTACTTGGCTGACGGCAGGGTAGGGTCTCCAGGCGACCTGAGCGTGCTGGGAAGACATGCACCCAAGATCCTAAAGAGCTGGAAGGTTGTGGGAAGGGACTGCAGCATGAGGAGACTGCCAACAGTACCCCCACCACTGCCCCCCAGTGCACATGCACGAGCTCACAATCAAAAACGGAAAATATTTTTTTCCAAAGCATTTTGAGAATATAAAACTTTATTGTTTAAAATGTCATTGGGCAATCGAATAGAAATTTTACCATGATGGTCTTTCAGTGCCTAGTCAAAGGCCATAGAAAAATTAAAAGCCACATCCATTATATGAAACATACATAAATGTGGTACCAGGAAAAAAATCACAGCTCATTGAAGTATCAGCGATTTGTAATCTTGGATACAGAATAAGTACAAGGGCGGGCCCCAACTCTGTGGGTGCCCTTGAGCCTGAATGAGGCCAGACTGCTTGTAATCAGATTCCCATGGTGGCCATGTGTCTGCCGCATCAGCTGTTTATGATCCTCAAGTCGGGATTTCTCTCTTCCTCAGCCATCAGAAGTGTCTGTGTTTCCTCATCAAATTCAGCTTTCTTCAGGCTGGTAAAAAAGAAAAGAGTCTCTATTTAATTCGTATCTTTTTCTTTTTCTTTTCTGTATCCCGTTTTTCTCCAAACCTTCTTTCCAGGACAATCTCAGGAGCCCCTGGTGTTGCCGGTGAGGGGAAAGGGTAGCCGCCATATGCAGGGTGTGCTGGTGAATGCCCCATACTGGCTCTCGGGGTTACCTACTGAAGGTGACGTACAGCACGTCACTGGGCTGGTGAGACGTGCACACGCGCTGGAACGTCACTTTGTACCCTCCGTAACACGAGATTGAATGTATAAAAGAAATGGAAATAAAAGGACATAAAAACTAAAATAATAAAACATGAATAAATACAGTGCATAACAAAGAAAAGGAAAAAACCCTTGGGTCAGGTAGTGGTGGCAGCAGTAATGCAGCAGCACCTGCAAGGGAGGTCCTGTGTTTACATCCCTGGACTTTCCAGGTGTGTGCCCCTGCCTGTGATCTGGGCCAGCTGAGACTGGGGGTGGACCATGGCGTAAAAACCCTTTTTGTGGTCCTGTCTCTATGTCTATCTCCCTCTCTGGTTTTTTTTTTTTTTTTTTTTTTTTTTTTTCTTGTGAAAAACTTAACTGTTTTTTTTTTTTATTTTTTCAAATAATTATTTCATTTTATTTATCATTATTATTGTTTTCCAGTTTGCTACAAGGCACACACATGAGAGAGAGAGGAAGTGAGAAATCAAGCTGCCAGATCTGGGACTTGAACCATAGTTAGTCATGCGTGAGTCTAGTGCCTTAACCACCATGCCACCTGCTGGCCTGGAAGAACTTTTTAAAAATATTTTTAAAAAATCCGTGATTTGGGGACCAGCAGTTGGCTTAATGGTTATGTCCAGTTTGCTACAAGGCACACACATGAGAGAGAGAGGAAGTGAGAAATCAAGCTGCCAGATCTGGGACTTGAACCATAGTTAGTCATGCGTGAGTCTAGTGCCTTAACCACCATGCCACCTGCTGGCCTGGAAGAACTTTTTAAAAATATTTTTAAAAAATCCGTGATTTGGGGACCAGCAGTTGGCTTAATGGTTATGTCACTGGACTCTCACATAGCCAACCGTGGTTCGAGTCCCGGACCCAGTGACTTAAACTCACGCCGGACACATGTATGTGCGTGCCCAAGATCCCAAGAGGAGAATGGAGGAGAAGGGATTGCGGTGTGGCCATCCCCCCTGGGGAGGCTGATTGGTGATTTCTCACTTTCTGTCTCTCTGTCTCTGTCTTCCTGGTGAGTGCATATGCCCTATAGCAACAAACAAAAATAAAAAAACAAACCCAAAAAAAACCTCTCAAAAAAAAAAAAAAATCCCTGATTTGTAGCTTTGCCCATTTTTGTGGTGTAAATTCTCAATCTGGCCATAGTTGATTTCAAGTTGCCAACTTGCTAGTCACTGAACAGAGTTATAAAGATCTGTGCAGGGAAGGCTCTCAGCAACCTGTAAGAGCTGGCTCTAACACATCGATGGGGAGGACAAGCGTCCAAGATCAGTGATCGAACACACTGATTTCACATGATAAAGTTTGCGACAAGAAGTCAGTAGAAACGAGGGAGAGAGTCCAAAGCTATTTTTATTTTTTAAGAAGATAAAATAGCAGTTTCCATTATCCAAGCATTGGGCGATAGCCTTCTGCCTAGGCTTTTACGTGTGTCTCTCATTAATTTTCATAATGACCTTATGGGATACCATTATGGTCTTGGTTTATTACGAAGATACTTAGGCTAATCTATGTTAAGGAATGGTCTAACATCACAGAAACTGGAAGTATGACAGTCAGGATGTAGAGCCCCACAATTTGCTTCTGGAGCACCCACACTTAGATGGAGGGGGAGCATCAAAAAGTTTATGAAAAAATGGAATTAAAAACTTACTCTGGTATCAAAAAGACTCCAGAATCCATGCATGGATGTTTTATGACATGTACTTTCCATGAACTTCTTGAAGACCCCTTGTATATGGCATTACATGGTTGCTTTGAACCAGACAGGAGGATTAAGAATCATTCTGGGGACCAGCAGTTAGCGTAATGGCTATGTCGCTGGACTCCCATGTAGTCGATCGCGGTTCAAGTCCCGGACCCAGTGGCTTAAACTCACGCTGGGCGCGTGTGCATGCGTGCCCAAGATCCCGAGAGGAGAATGGAGGAGAAGGGATTGCGGCGTGGCCATCCCCCCTGGGGGGTGATTTCCTGCTTTCTGTCTCTCTGTCTCTCTTTCTGGTGAGCGCACGTGCCCTATAGCAAAAAAAAAAAAAAAAATCATCGTTTTGTCTTGGTTCTTCTGTGGGTACAAATGTCTCTCATTTCTGTTTGGTGTCTGTTTGCAACTGTCCCAAGTAGCATCCTCTTTCTGTCACGGTGAACTCTGGTGCAATCATTTATTTTAATAAGTATCTTTATGAGACTATCCTTGGCTGGGTGGGTGGGAAGAGCTGAAAACTCACTTATTTGGTTCCATCACACTTTTCATATTATTTTATGTATATTTTCATAAATATCATGTCAAATAATTATCACAATATCACAAAATAAATTATCACTATCTCGTAGATAGAAGACCGATAACCAGAGAAGACAAGAGCCTGGGCCAGGGTCAGAGAGCTCAACACGGCGAGGCTGGATTCCAGGCAGGCCTCTGTGGCTCGGGCATATTGGCCAGTCCACGTCTTTTTTTTTTTTTTTTGAAGAGATTTTCACTGTAGGGCGCGTGCGCTCGCCAGACAGACAGAGAGAGACATAGAGACAGAAAGCGAGAAATCACCCCCCACGGGGGATGGTCACGCCGCAATCCCTTCTCCTCCATGCTCCTCTTGGGATCTTGGGCACGCACGCACACGCGCCCGGCGTGAGTTTTAAGCCACCGGGTCCGGGACACGAACCGTGGTCGACTACGTGGGAGTCCAGCGATATAGCCATTACGCTAACTGCTGGTTCCCAACCAGTCCACGTCTTTTCACGTCATTGTGCATCAGTCCCGGCCCTCAGCAGGCTCCTTTTTTAGCAGAAGTTAAAATGAGAAAATGCTAGGCACTCAGCATTGCTAGATGGAGATTTAGAGGGATAAACTCAAGGAAATTAACCTGTATCTTCACAAAAGGAAAGAGAAGTGAGTGCTCCTTAGTGGATGGAGTTATTGTCTTTTTGGTTTTTTTTTAGAGGTTTTGCTATAGGGCGTGTGGGCTCGCCAGACAGACAGAGAGAGACATAGAGACAGAAAGCGAGAAATCACCCCCCTGGGGGGATGGCCACGCCGCAATCCCTTCTCCTCTGGTCAGTCGACTACGTGGGAGTCCAGCGACATAGCCATTACGCTAGACGCTGATTCCCTGCCCTTGTGTTTTGAAGGCCTGATTTATAGCTGTTACATCAAAGAAACATTTCAACAACATGCCTTGTTGGAGATTAATACCCCTAATCTTTATATGGTGACTATTTTTCTCTTTTGGAGAGGTTTTTGCTATAGGACGCGTGCACTCACCAGACAGAGAGAGAGAGACAGAGAGATAGAGAGCGAGAAATCACCCCCAGGGGGTATGGTCACGCTGCAATCTCTCCTCCTCCATTCTCCTCTCGGGATCTTGGGCAGGCACGCACACGCGCCCAGCGTGAGTTTAAGCCACCGGGTCCAGGACTTGAGCTGCGGTGACTACGTGGGAGTCCAGCGACGTAGCCATTAGGCCATTTGCTGGCCCCCAATGATGACTATTATTCATCTAAAAGTTATTTATTTAGTTTCAAAGTCTCCGATAAAGTCACATGTTAGGGGTGGCTGAAGTAACCCCAAAGGAGCTGTGTTGGAGGAATTGTAGAGACAGGTGTCTTACCAAGCTTGACAGGAAACCGTACAATGAAGTGGAAATTACTGTGCTTAAAACAATTCTAAGTTTGTAAAACTGCCTTCATTTCTTTGGCATCAAATGCTTATATTAATAACAAAATCTTAACGCATTTAAAAAAATAATTTTAACTTCTGCTAAAAATTTAGCATGTGCAATGCCAGAATCAATGCGCAGTGCAGCAGAAAGCCCTGGACTGCTCATTACGTCCTGGACCTTGAGTCTGTCCGAATTCCAGCTTTGCCACGTGTCGCCACTTACCCCTGGCCGAGGCATTTGTCTTCTCTGGTTATTTTGCGTGTGTGCATGTGTCAAATCCCGAGAGCATGGAGAAATGGAGGAAGAGGGATTGTGGCATGTTCACTTAGAAGGGGGTTGCTTTCTCCTCCCTCTCCCTCTGTCTGTCTCTCGCACATAAATATATTTTAAAAATATATTTATGAATAAGAGTTATATATCAAGTATACCTACTAGGTATTATCGTGATAATTGTATGATTATAGTACCATGTGCCACATTTACTGAGCATTCTCCAGTCATGGGTGCTGGTGTCGTAAGGACCTACACTCAAGTGTCTGTCACTCCCGTTACAACTCTGAGGCAGGGACACAGTTTGCATTTCAAATGCAATGAGATTAGATTGTAATAGTTGCACATTTCAGATCCCTTCTTAGCTCTGAGGAATCTCCCCACCAAGCATGGATGGCAGCTTACCCAAGCACCTCCAGGGCACACTCTGGGTGTCTCAAGGCCTCGCAGAGCACAGCTACCCCACTATGGTCCAAGGCATTCTGAACCAGGTTCAGTCTCCGCAGAGTCTTGCAGCTGGTAAGGGCAGAGGAGAGAGCCTCACAGCAGGCACTGGTTAACCCACATGCTTCCAGCCTGCAACCAACAGACACCCAGTGAGAAGGAGCCCCACCCTCAGGGTGGAGAAGCTGATAGACACAGGGTGTGAACCAGACAGCAAGGTTAACCCAACAGCTTCTGAGCAGTCTCGTACAGCCCGGTGTGTAACAACAGATTACTTCTCCGTGGCTGGCAAAAGTGGCCACAAGTATCCATTTTTCTCTATGTGTGTGCACCATGGCAATGTCACTTTGCTCCTGATCCCACTGAGAGGTACAGTCTATTTCCCCTAGTCCTTGAATCTTGGCTGGTCTTGCAAATAATGCAATCCAGTGAAAAAAGCGACTGGATCCTGGCCCTGCACCTAGGATGCCCTGAATGTTTCTTGGTCTCCTGGATCCCTGAGAGACCACTGCTGGGTCAGTTGTATCCCCCTAAAATTCCTAGCCCCCTAGTACTAAAAACGTGACTATGTTTGGAGGTAGGGTCTCTGCAGGGGCTATTAAGTAATAATGAGGATGATAGGGTAGGCCCTAAGCATATGGGATTGGACAGTTTGGACAGATATGGACAGAGGGAAATCTGTGTGAACACAGGGAGGAGATGGCACTCTCCAAGTCAAGGAAACAGGCCCCACCCTACTCACTTAGCTACTAAAGGCGCCATCTTTGACCCCATGAATGTATTACTTTTATTTCCAATACCTTCTCAATCAAATCTCAACTAGTGAAAATTTGGGGGGACATGAATCATAGTTGCCTCCAAGTTTTAGAGTGGTTTATTATGTAAGAACAGCTAACTGTCATGTTACCCTGCTAAAGTTTCTTTCTTTCTTTTTTTCATTCTGCCCTTCAATCCTTTATCTTTTGCCAACCACAAAGACACAGCCATGACTTTGACAATGCCTACCCCAGGTTCTCTAAGCAGCAGTTGGGATGTATCAGAGCTTCACACAAGAGCTTCACACCAACATCTTCTACATCATTGTACCCAATTTGCAGACTTCTCAGGTTTTGATTGCTGGTGAGAACTAAGGTGAGGTCTTGACAGCCTTCAGTAGTGATGAAACATTTCACCAAACTGTAAAAGAATAGCCATAACAAGTCTTTTCTGGTTCATTAAATTCTGTCCTTATCTTTGTTTTCTTCCTTATTTCTCTGGGTGTGACATTTAAAAAACAAAAACCAAACCAAACCAAGCCCCACAGACTCCTATGCTCCTTGTTCTTCAGCGTCTCTTCTGGTATTACGCGTGCTTCAGATGCATCTCCTGAGTTGGTCGTAAAGTGCATTATTCTCCATTCCTACATGTCCTAGTTTCCGTTGTGGTTTCCTTGATTTGTGGATTGTATATGGGAATTAACTATGTTCATCTCATAAAAATTAAACTTCTGTTTGGGAGAAAGATAATTTAAAAATTAGTATGAATTGGGCTAGCTCATGGAGTGGTGGTTAAGGCAGCTGGATCCCATATGGCTGACTATACAGTTCAAGCCTGGACCTAGCAGCTTGAGAAACATGCTGGGCACATAAGCACACATGTCTAAGATTCTTAAATAAAGGAGAGATGAGAGAGAAGGAATTGCAATGTGACCATGTCCCGCATGGTGGTTTGGCACTCTCCCCCCCACCCCACCCCCACACCTTTCTCTCTAGTGAGCACACATGCTTGCTAGCAAAAAAAATTTAAAACAGAAAAAAAAAAAAAACACCTTGATGGAGGGAGGAAGGAGGAGGCTTCTGCCTGCCCCATGTAGTAGTATATACCCCCTGCTCTTATGCTGCATGCTACTGCTTTGTACTCTACCTCCTGCACTTAGCTCCTGACCATATGGAGACCAAAGTGGTTGGGGTAAGTCAGGGGAACATGGCCACTGACTGAGGGAAAGGTCAACCACAGGAAGGGCTGACTGTTGCCAGCATGCAGCCTGCAGATATCTGGATGTGGCCACTGCCTGCAAGCAGCAGCCACAGAGAGAGGTCATGTGGGACCATTGTGGAGGAAAAGGAAATTGGCAGAAACCTCTGGTCTGCATGGCTTCTTCTTTCAAAAGTAGAGAGGAGCCAACTGTCTGAAGCCAGTAAGGCTATGGGGGAATTTCTTTCAGCACCCATACTGGAGGAGAAAAGGGAGAGAAACTGAGAATTTGAACTCCAACACTCCCCCCAGGGATTCCAGCACTTCCACCTGCAGAAGAATAGGGAAACTGGCACAGTGCTAACACATAACATAGGGAAACACACAAGTATACAGCTCTAAAAACCTACTCCAAAAAATAAGGAAGAAATAAGTACTTCCCACATGCTTAAAAATAAGTGTAGAGTCACAAAAAAATATGAGAAAACAAGGAAATATCTCTCCCCCAAAGGAACACAATAACTCCTCACCAACCATAGATAAAACACAAGAAATCACAGATATGTCAGCAAAAGAATTCAGAATATTCATCATAACAAAACTCAATGAGATGCAAGAGAAAATGGACATCCAATTCCAGGAGATGAGAAAATCATTCTACAAGTTGAAGGAAGAATTTCATAAAGAGATAGACATTCTAAAAAAGAATCACACTGATCTTCAGTATTAACAGCAGAGTAGACCATGTAGAAGAATCTCTGACCTTGAAAACAAAACCTCCAATCTAGTCTAAGTCACCAAAATGAATGAAAAAATAACAATATAAAATGAAGAAAACATACAGGAAATCCTGGATGGCATTAAGCATCCAAATAGCTACGTAATGGGTATTCCAGAAAGTGAAGAGATGTGTAAAGGCATAGAAAATTGCTTTCATGAAATATCTGAAAACTTCTCAAATCTAAAGAGATATAAATAGTTAAATACATAAAATATAAAGAACAACAAATAAATTGAACAGAAGAAGAGTCTCTCCAAGGCAAACTGGTAAAAGTCAAGATGAGGACAATATTCTAAAAATGGCAATAGAAAAATGACAAGTTACTTACAAAGGTTATTTCATTAGACTAACATCAGACCTTCCAACTGAAACAATGCAGGCAAGGAAAGAAATATGAAAAAGTTTGAAAGAAAAAAATTTCATTCAAAAATATTATAGCTGGCAAGATTATCCTTCAAATGGGAAGGAGAAATAAAGTTGTTTCAAGATAAAAAGCTGCAAAAATTTACCAACACTAGACTCGCTCTTCAGGAAATATTACATCAGGAAAAAAAACAGAAGACAAATAGAAATAAGAGAACACAAAACAACTAAAAACAAAAAAGACAGGTATAAATCCACATGGATTGATATTAACATTGAATGTTAATGTATTAAATTTCCCAATTAAAGACACAGATTAGGGGTCAGAAGATGGCATGATGGTTAAGGTACTGGACTTCCACATAGCTGACTGTGGTTCAAGTCCTGGACCTAGTGGCTTAAAAAATCACACTGGGTGCATGTGCATGTGTGCCCAAAATCCCAGGAGGAGAACTGAGGAGAAGGGATGGTCATCTACCCTGGAGGGTGATTTTTTACTTTACCTATCACTGTCCCTTTCTGGCAAGTGCACATACCCTATCACAAGAACCTTTTAAAAAGATGAACAACAACAACAAAAAGACACAGATTAGCTAAGTGGATTAAAAATAGGAAACCCTCTGTGTGTTGCTTATAATAAACATACCTCATTGATAAAGAAGTGCATAGACTGAAAGTGAAGTGAAGGCTGAAAAAAGACATTTCATGCAAACGGAAACCAAAAAAAAAAAAAATTTAAAAAAGGGCTGGAGTTTCAATTTTAATACTGATATCATACAAAATAGACTTCAGGTTAAAAATGGCAAAAACTGACAAGAGCACCATATAGTGCTAAAAGTATTAATTCACCAAGAATACATAGCAATTATAAATATTTAAGCACCCAACACTGGGACACCCAAATATGCAGAAGAAAAACTGTTAATCTAAAGGTAGGAATATACTGTAACACTAATTGTTAGGGATTTCAACACTCCACTGTCAGGTAATCTGGACAAAAACAAACAAGGAGTCAAAGGAACTTGTTGATGTCATAAACCAAATAGACCTGACAGACACTTATAGAACATTTTATCCAATAACTAAAAAGTACACAGTTTTCTCATCTCTTCATTGAAATTATTTGAAGGTTGACCATGCAATAAGGCACAAAATATGCTTCTACAAATTTAAAAGTATAGAAACTATATCACCATCTTCTCTGACCACAACGGAATTAAATTTGAAATGAACAACAGAGCATTTGGAAATACACAAGATCATGGAAATTAAACAATTGATGCCTGAACGGCTTAAAACTAACGAAGAATTGAAGTCTAAAATAAAAAGATTTATTGAAACTAACAGTAATAAACACACAACTCTCAATAATCTTTGGGATACAGCAAGAACAGTCATAGGACACAGCAAGTGCTCATAAGAAACAAAAACTAGAAAGGTGGCAAAAACAAAACAAAACAAAACCAAACCCTAATAATACATATCAAGAAACCAAGAAAGCAAAGGCAAAAAAAAAAAAATCCCAACATACCTAAAGAAAAGACATAATAAATATTAGAAATTAAATAATAAAAGAATTATGCAAAAAAATCAATGAGACAGAAAGCTGTTTTCTTGAGAGGATAAACAAAATTGACATGACATTAGCTAGACAAATCAAGAAAAACAGAGAAAGGTAGCAGATAAATGAGAGCAGTAACTAAGCAGATAATATTACAACACACACACAGAAATACAAATAATCATGAGTGAACACTATGAGCAATGATATGTATATGAATGAAAGCCCTAGATGAGATGAACAAGTTTCTGGACACATACAATTTACCTTCATTGAACCAGGAAGAAATAGAAAGCCGGGACAGATTCATATTAAGCAATGAGATTGAATCAATAATAATCTCCCAGCAAAGAAAAGCCCAGGTCCTAATGAGCTTCACTTCTGAATTCTACAGAACTTTTAAAGAGGTAACCCCAACACTCTTCAAATTATTTCAAGAGATCCAAAAGGAAGACACTCATCTCAACTCAGTATATGAAGCTTCCAACATTTTGATACCAAAACTAGACAAGTACATAACAAAAAAAGAAAACTATAGGGACCAGCAGTTAGCGTAATGGCTATGTCGCTGGACTCCCATGTAGTCGACTGCAGTTTGAGTCCTGGACCCGGTGACTTAAACTCACGCCGGGCGCGTGTGCGTGCATGCCCAAGATCCTGAGGGGAGAATGGAGGAGAAGGGATTGCAGCGTGACCTTCCCCCCTGGGGAGTGATTTCTCGCTTTCTGTCTCTCTGTCTCTCTCTGTCTATCTGGCTAGCGCATACGTCCTATAGCAAAAACCTCTCCAAAAAAAAAGAAAAAAGAATCTGAGTCTTGTATTCTTCAGTTTTCACATTCTCGAGCACAGACGCTATGGGTTTCATCAACTCCAGGTACCTTCTCAGCAATGCAAGCCCTAGAAAAGAAGGCTCGGTCTTCAAAATAAGTCTCAAAGAAAACCTACCACAGTGACTGTAGGCAGCAGTCTGGGTGTTTCAAGGCTTCACAGAGAATTTTCAGCCCCTCATCTTTCAGGATATTTGCACTGAGGTCTAGATGAACCAGGCTCTTATTATGCAGAAAGACTTCAGAGAGGCATTCCCAGCAGTGCTCGGTCAGGTAGCAGTAAGCCAAACTGTGGGGACAGTGAGAGTGAGAGCAAAGGGAGGAATAGTAGCTCAGACGGCTTTGCTTAACCATACGCGAAAGGCAACGATTCCATAATTTTACATACAACATCTTCAGGTGTGACACAAACTTCCGACTTATCTGAAAACATATTCCTTTATTTCTTCTCATGTTATAGAGGGGTTAGAAAAATAAAACTGACAAAATTATATAGAAGAAGAAGATGGTACAACATGGCACTGCTCATACCCTAAAAATACTCAAATTTTAGTTCAAATTCTATACCTGCTAGTACCCTCCTCCTTAGGTCCTGGGACCTCCCATAATCTCTCTGCATTTTCAGTCAGCATCTCTACAACTCGGGACACCTGACAGCTTCCGGGCTTCCTCCCTCCTGTACCATGTCCTTATGACGCTCTGCAGATCATAAATCGCGATCATTATGGGGTCACTGCTTTGTCCCTTATCTTTCAGGAATCACTGTCCTTCATTGTCTGATGTCTAGGATCTTAAGCTATTGTTTTAATTATTTTGTTATCTTTAGTTGTTTTAACTGGTAGGTCATATCCAGTCCCATGTTTCTGCATTTTGGCCTAAATTACAAATCCCCTAATTTTCTTGATACATTGTCAGAATACCTTTACTTCCCTATAGTTTGAAAATTTTAAAAGCCCCACAGCAAATAAGTAGAAAATCTCCCTCCCATTCTCCTAGTTCTAATTCCCATAGGTAACCTATATTATAATTCTATGTCTCTTCCAAAGATTTTTTCTGTATAAAAACATATACACAAATGCATGTGTATTTGCTTGCCCTTTCCCCTTTTATGTAAGTACCAGCGTAAACTGGGAATATCAGCACAACGACTTTAACAGGTCATCAATTGACCCTGCTCTGCTACAGGCACCAGCTCATCTGTTTCCCTTCTCTGAGTTTTTTAATGCCCTAAAATTTTTCTTTTAGGTTAAATTATTCACTCGTCTTATTACTCAAGAAAGGCTCAGTCAGAATTAAATTAGGTCAAGAAGCTCATAAGTAGCAGATGGAAGTCCCTTATATATACTAGAAGTGAAAAAAGTTATTGGTACAGAAATTATAATGTGTGTTTTAGATTTTTTTTTTAATTTGAGAGATTTTTGCTATAGCGCATGTCTCTCACCAGAGAGACAGAGAGAGACAAGAGAAACAGAAAGCAAGAACTCACCCTGTGGAGGGATGGCCACGCTGCAATCCCTTCTCCAGTGACCTCTTGGGATTTTGAGTACTCATACATACAAGCCCAGCATGAATTTTAAGCCACTGGGTCTGAGACTCAAACCACAGTTGACTGTGTGGCAGTCCAACGATATAACCATTATGCCAATCTTAATCTAGTTTACCATCTTTTGAAACTTAGTATGTGTTCCATATAGATAGCCTCACTTCTTATTCCTAAGACCTCTACGACAGGATTTTCCCCATCCTTTTATCTACAGAGGAACAAATATAAACTGAGGGAGATTAAATAATTTGCTCGAAAAGATAGAGATATAAAGATAGAATAAGATAGAGAATAAAGATAGCTTCACTTTCTCCTTTCCAGTCGGTTCTTTAGCTCTGCTCTGGGACACAGTTAAATTAAGAAGACAACGGGTAAGTGGTAAACCTAGAGGTGGAACTCAAATCTTTCTTTCCCCTTTATGAAAGGGATAGAAGAAGAGAAGGAGGGAGGGAGGGGGGAAGAGAGAAAGAAAAGAAAGAAGAGGATGAGAAGGAGAAGGCAGAAGGAGGGGAGGGGAGTCAGAGAGAGGTATTTTTGACAGAGCCTCACCGTATCATGAACCTCCTGACCCACCCGTTTCTCAGATTACTGGCATGCACAACCTCACCCAGCATGTTCAGGTTGGTTCAGGAACAAAACCCAGGCCTCCACGCGCCTTCCAGCCTCCCGGATGGTGGTGCTGCCTCCATGCCACTGTGGCTGGGTCCCCAGTCTTTTTGATTCTTAAGCTTATGCTTTGAAACCTCTGCTTTGTTGCTTCTATCAACGGATAGAGGCTGAAGTTTGAACTGCTGCCCTAGGACGCCACAGAGGACCCCCGCCCACTTACATGAGGACCTCCAGGGCACAGTCTGGGTGGCACAAACTCTTGCACAACTGGCACACCCCTTCATGCAAGTAGTTGTATGATACATTAAGATGCTTCAGTTTCTTGCTGCTGTTTAGGACCGAGGAGAAGACTTGGCAGTCGTCAGATGTGAGGCCACAGTTTGCCAGCCTGCAGGGAGGGAAATCACAGGTGGCTGGTCTCTCTGACTCTCTCCCTTTGCTGACCCTGTAAGTCAGGGGTACACGTTTGCTCTCCTGGAGAATCTGGCTGATACCATTCTTGATCCCCATTGACCCATTCTCTAGACCATGAGAGACCAAGACACGCATAGACTGTTACATCCACACTTGGCTTAGCCCCTCCGCCCCCAGTGACTTCCGCTACGCTGAGGGAAAAGCCCAGTACAGAGCATGATCACGGGTCCCCACCTATACCCACATCCCTGCGTTCCTCCTATACCATCTAACTTAGTTGTTTGACCACGTCAGGCTTTTATTCTTTGAGGAATCCTTTTTAATTGACAGAGGGTACATGAGAGAGAGAGAGAAAGAGAGAGAGAGAGGGAGGGAGGGAGGGAGAGAGAAAAGGACGGAGGGGGGAGAGAGGGAGGGAGAGGGAGGGAGAGGGAGGGAGAGAGAGACTCCCATGGGGTGTGGTCACACTGAAATCCTTTTTCCTTCATTGCCACACCCTGTTGGGATTTGGGGCATGCATGCCCATGCACCTGGTGTGTTTTTCAAGCTCCTGGGACCAGGATTTGAACTGCAGTCAGTTATGTGGGATCTGACTTCCTGCACACAGGGCTTAACCACTACACTATAGGGTTGGCCTTTCTTTGAAGTATTTATGTTTGCTATTCCCCAAACTCAGCCAGCTCCTTTACCCCACTTAAGGTTGCACTTGGTCATCCTGAGTGGAGTGCTCTTCCTGGCCTCTGTTAGTGCAGATTCTCATCACTCAGTCTTTACTCAAGTGACACCACCTCAAAGAACACTCCTTAGAAGACACCTTGAACGGGCTCATCATTTGGGGACTTGTTCGAGTTGACTTGTGCTGCCAGTAAGTGTGGTTTTCTATGACCTTGACCACTCTCAACTCTGGCTGCCACAAAAACAATAAATGAGGGACCAGCAGTTAGCGTAATGGCTATGTCGCTGGACTCCCACGTAGTCGACCGTGGTTCAAGTCCGGACCTAGTGGTTTAAGCTCACGCCGGGTGTGTGTGTGTGCGTGCCCAAGATCCCGAGAGGAGAGTGGAGGAGAAGGGATTGTGGCGTGGCCATCCCCCCTGGGGGGTGATTTCTCGCTTTCTGTCTCTCTGTCTCTCTCTGTCTCTCTGGCGAGTGCACGCACCCTATAGCAAAAACCTCTCCAAAATAAATAAATAAATAAATGAAGCCTAGATACAAAAATAATAAGGATGTAAACAATTATGATAGTTGTTAATAAATTAAGGTGTAATTGGCAAATCATCCACTCAATGGCTCCTAACACCTCTCCAGGATAATCCTGTGGCAACCCAAGTTGTTTTTCTTTTTGAGAGGTTTTTCACTATAGGGCGCGTGCGCTCACCAGACAGACAGAGAGAGACAGAGAGACAAAAAGCAAGAAATCACCCCCCGGGGGGATGGCCACGACGCAATCCCTCCTCCTACATTCTCCTCTCGGGATCTTGGGCACGCACGCGCACGTGCCCAGCGTGAGTTTTAAGCCACCGGGTCTGGGACGCGAACCGCAGTCGACTACATGGGAGTCCAGTGACATAGCCATTGCACTAACTGCTGGTTCCCAGCAACCCATGTTTTAAAAGTCGTTTCTAGCTTTGAGGCATGACAAGGGTACTTCAAAAAAATAGTAGAAGATTGAATTAAAGTAAGTTTGGGATCCGAGTGTGTGCGGTGGGAACTGGTCCTTCCTGGGCAATGTGTGTTCATGCTGACTGAGACTGAGGGGTGGATCATGGTGTGAAGACCCTGTTGAGGATGCCTGTCTCTTTGTCTCTGTTTCTCTCTCTGTGTTTCTCATGAAATAAATGAAAATTGACTTTAAAAATACAAGGGCTGGCCGCATGGTCTGTGGTTAAGGGAGACAGATCTCACGTATAGCTGACCGTGATTTGAATAGCATTCTAGATCGGTGTGTGCATGCCCAGAACCTTGACAGGTTGGAGCAGGGACTGTAGTGCGAACATACCCATTTGGTGTATGTGTTCTTCCCCTGACATCTCTCTCTGTCTCTCTGGTGAGTACAAATACCCTCAGGCAATTGTAAATGAATAAATAAAGCACAGGTCTATTTTGCTGAGGAAAATGAAATTCATGCAGTTTTTTTATAATTCACATTTTTTCATGCGTTTTTTAAAGTTTTTTTTTTTCTGTAGGGCATGTGTGCTCGCTGGGGAGACAAAATGCAAGAAACCATCCCCCCCCCAGGGGGGATGGCCACAGAGAGACAGAATGTGAGAAATCACCCAGGGGTGGGTCACACTGAAATCCCTTCTCCTCCATTCTCTTGTTGGAACTTTGGACATGCACGCACATGTGCCCAGCATTGGTTTCACGATGTTGGGTTCAGGACTTAAACTGTGGCTGGCTACATGCTTAAACGCTATGACACTTGCTGGCCCCTTTCATGAACTTTTTAAGACACTGCCCTCCCCTCCATATATTCAAGCAGTGAAAAATAGGATTTGGCATATTTCACACCATACACAAAAACTTAACTCCAAATGGCTCATAGATCTAAATATAAGAGCTAAAACAAAAATTGTAGAAGAAAACAAATGAAGATCTTAGAAGAAAATTTAATGACTTTCAGTTGGGGCATGATTTCTTAGATATTTTATCAAAAGCACAAGATGAAAGAAAATAACAAACTGCATCTCAAAAGAATAAAAACTTAGGAGCTTCAAAGGACACCAGTAAGAAAGTGAAAAGACAGCTCACAGATGGGGGTAAATATGTCCAGATCACGCATTGTATACTGCATAGCTTCTATCTAGAACATATGTATGGAACTCTTATAGCTTATTCACAAAGTAATAAACAACCTAATTAGAAATGTGCAAAGGATTTGAACAAACATTTCCCAAAGAATACATGCAAATGTGCACATGAAAGATGCCAAAGTACACCTGAAAAGATGCTCAACATCATTGTCCTTTCAGAAAAAGCAAGTCAGAACCACAAGGAGAGACCATTCCATATCCACCAGGATAGCTATAATAAAAAATGAAGAAGGACTGGAGGCGTGTAGAGGAATCAAAAGCTACTGAAGAATACATGCAAATGTGCACATGAAAGATGCCAAAGTACACCTGAAAAGATGCTCAACATCATTGTCCTTTCAGAAAAAGCAAGTCAGAACCACAAGGAGAGACCATTCCATATCCACCAGGATAGCTATAATAAAAAATGAAGAAGGACTGGAGGCATGTAGAGGAATCAAAAGCTACTGGTGGTGGGAATATGAAACAGTTCGGCCACTATGGATAGTTAGCGATTTCTCCAAAGGTTAAACACAGAATTAGTATATGGCCTGCCAATTCCATTCCTAAGCATAACCCCCAAAGATTTAAAGATGTTTAAGCATGAATGTTTACACAGCATTGTAAGTATGGCCAAAAGGTGGAAACATGTAATATGTTCATCAATGGATGAATAGGTCAACAAAATGTGATATATCCATACAGTGGAATATTGTTTAGTCAGGAAAAGGGAAGAAGAACTGATATATGGTACAATTGAGATGAACCTCAAAAACGTTTTGGGACCAGCAGGTGCCATGGTGGTGAAGGTGCTGGACTTCCACACGGCTGACCATGATTTGAATCCTGAACCCGGTGGCTTGAAAAAAATCACATTGTGTGTGTGCCTGTGTGTGTGTGTGTGTGTGTGTGTGTGTGCCTGACCGCCTAAAATACCAGGAGGAGAATACAGGAAAAGAGATTGAAGCATGGCCACCCCACCCCCTAGGAGGTGATTTCTCTTCCCTCCCACTATCTGTCTCTCTGATGAGCACATATGCCCTATGGCAAAAACCTTAATTTTTGTTGTTGTTGTTGAGTGTAAAGTAAGCTACTCACAAAAGGCTACATATCGTTTGCTTTAATTTATATGAGATGTCCAGAATAGGAAAATCCACCTAGGCTCAGTGTACATTAGTGGTTTCCAGAGGCTAGAAAGACAAAGGAATGGGGAGTGAGTGCTAATGGGTACAGAGTTTCTTTCCAAGGTAATAAAAACTTTCTAAAGTTATATAGTCATGGTAGTTACATATCCTTGTCAATATATACTAAGACTATAAATGGTATACTTTAAAATCATAAGTTTTGTGGTATATGGATTATATCTTGGTAAAAGTATTACTGAAAAATGGGCATAGGTCTTCATGGGAGACCAGAGAGAAGGCAAAGAGTTTTATAAAGTATTTGAATGTCTGGATATCAAAGAAAGTAAATAGAGAAAAAATACTGGAAGAAATTTGTATATGATTGAAAAAAAAAGCGCTTTAAGTAACATACTTACAGAAAACGCCCTAACTGTAAGTGCTGGCCAGTGAACTGCCGTGCAGTTAATGCGTGTGTTATTAGCATCCAGGTGAAGAAGCAGGGCAGATCCGTCAGCTCCTGAGCCTTATTCTGTCACTATCCTAACGAAAGCAGTCACTAGCCTAATCTTTAACTACGTGGTTTTGTCCATCTGAACTTTACGTAAACAAGTCATATGATAAACTCTTGAGTTTGAACTTCATATAAGTCAAGCCAACTAATACATTCTTGAGTTTGGTTGATTTCTAGAGAGGTACCCCAACTTCACACCACGTTTAAGATTCATCCAGATTTTTGCGTACAGTTGTAGATCATTCATTCTCGTGGAGCATAAGAAAATAAGCACAGGTTTCCTACTTGCTCACTAGTGGATATTTCCATCTTGCAGGTGTTAGGAATACCTTCTATTGTTTTAGTACCTGTCTTTCAGCAAAGGGAGTCATGTAACACTGAATATATGCCGAGAGTGGGATTCATGGATTCTAGAGTATGCCAGAATCTACGAAAGCTGAACAGAGGCAGTTTTCCAAAGCTGTTATACTGATCAAGACACTTTAACCTCCATGTCCTATTCTCAGATTCCTAGGAGGTTAGGTGTGCATACGAAGAGCAGAGAAGAGGGGGAAAGTGGGCGTGTGAAAATGCGCGGTCCTCTCTGGAATCAAACCAGTGAGCCTGGTAAACAGAGACGTACCGCAGCTCTTCGATGTTACACACTGGATGGTTCAAGGCATCACAAAGGAGCGTCACTTCGTCCCGGGCGAGTTTTGTGGAACTGAGGCTCAGGAATTTTATACCTGGATTATGAACAAGCACCTCAAAGAAATGCCACATGTTGCCAGAAAAGGAAACGTTATTCATTCTGCAAAGACAAAGAACATTTTGGAAGGGCTTAATCCAATGAAGACTGAGTACAGCTTGGACTCATGTCTGATTGTCTCCTGTAACCATAATTCATACTCTAATCTACAACCCAAGTCTGTGCTTCAGTGGTCCTCAAACTGGATGATTTTTGTGTCCAGAAGGGACAGTTGGGAATATCTAGACACTTTTGTTGTTTTAACTGCAGAAAGCTAGTGGCATCGAGAAATTAGAGGCCAGGATTCTCAGCATCTTATACCACACAGGACAGCCCCTCACAACAAGATCTGGAACAAAGATTGGCGGTGTTCGTTTGAGAAACTCTGTTCTAGATCGTCATACTTTGCCTACACAGTTAGCCTCAACCGAAAACTAGAGGTGAGACTAATTTGTTATTTCCATGATAAACTCAAGTCAAGGGTAATCTTCAACTTCCTCGATATTTTTTTCTTTTTAAGTTTATTTATGAGTTTATGGAGGGAGAGAAGGTGAGAGGCTCACAACAGGATCTTCACTCCATGACCACCCGCCAGTCTCAGGAAGCCTGGGTCACAGGCAGGCATGTGCCTACTGTGCTCAAGGAGGGCCCAGGACCTGAGCCCAGGACACTTCCCACATGGGCCCAGCTGTGCTACCACCGTACCAGCCCCAGCCCCAACCTACTCAAGCTTTTCAAGGTGACATCTAGGATGCCTCAGCTGGTCACACAAAGCCACAAAGGCTGACGTGTTGAGGTCACTGTTTTTCACTTTGAGTTCTCTGAGGTTCTCATTTGTAGTGAGCACAGAGCAGATATGATGCCAACGGATGATACCACGGCTTGACCTGTGATAAAGAAAGCATGCACTTTCTGTGGGAAAGACAGGTAACCCAAGATATTTGCAGCATAGGAACCTTACTCATTACCCCCTGAATGGAAGACATCTGATTTAGACCTTTCTTCAGACAGGGAGAGTAAGGTCAGCCCGTAAGCTCACCTTGTACATGCAGTTCTCAACAAGGGCAGTTGGAAAGGACGTGGCAACATTTGGAGGCATTTTCGGTTGTTACAGCCTGAGAGAGGGGTGCTTGTGGCATCGAGTGGGGGAAGGCCAGGGATGCTTCTAAATATCCCATCCTTTGCAGGAGCTGCCCCGACCTGCCCAAAATGGTGTAGCCAAGATATCAATGGTAACAAGACTGAGAACTGCCTCATAACCAGGCCGCCTAAGAGTGAGGCAGTACAAAAACGCCCGTTAAGTCAAAGTCTTGAATGATATTCCCTAGGTTTAAATTTAGCTTTCTTTTTTAAAACATTTATTACCACTATTATTTAAAAAAAATTTACTGTAGGGCACATGCATGGGAGAGAGAGAGAGAGAAAGTGAGAGAGAGAGAGAGAGAGAGAGAAAGTGAGAGAGAGAGAGAGAGAAAGTGAGAAAGCAAGTTGCCAGGTCTAGGATTTGAACCTCGGTTGGCTGTGTGGGAGTCTAATCCCTTAACCACCAAGTGAGAAATCATCCCCCAGGGGCGATGGCCACACTGCAATCCCTTCTCTTCCATTCTCCTCTTGGAATCTTGGGCATGCATGTGCCTGTGCCTGGCGTGAGTTTAAGCCACCAGGTTCAGGACTGGAACTGCGGTCGACTACATGGGAGTCCAGCGACATAGCCATTATGCCAACTGCTGGTCCTGGCCCTCACTTTCTTAATCTTGGGCAAGTTACTTAACTTCTTGACCCTTGCTTCCTCACCTAACATGAGTATCTATCTCATGATTTTTATAAATATTAAATGAATTTAACATCGTAAAATTTTTTTTAGAATACGCTTCCAAAGGTAATTTGAAGCTAGAAGGTCCAGAGAGTCTGAGTGTGGACCTATGGGAATGATAGAACTGTTCATTATAAGTACATATCTGCTAATATTTGAGAAGGTCAAAACAGTTTATATGGATTCTCATTCAATCCTCACGGTATGGTTGTTTACATTATGGCCACTTTCGTAAAAAGGCGACTTGCATCCAAGAAAGAGCCAGTGTCACGGAAGGGTCACAGAGCTCCTTGGCAGTTAGGCCAGGACTTGAGCTGAGGCCTGTTTGACAGACAAGGCGAGGTTCTAGCTTTGACCCTACTTCTGCTCTATCAGCAAAACCCCACTGAAAATAGGGGCACATTTTGAAAAGGAAATAGAAAGAAAAGTCACTGGATAAACTTACATACAACTGTGTCCATTTGTTTCCTGAAAGACATTTTGGATTGAAAACTGAAGTTTCTTCAAGCCAGAACAGTATTTTAAGCAGTAGGCTGAAACCACCAAGTCTGAGTTGTCCGCAATAGAAAAGTTAACGTCTTGGAGGAAGTGCATTGCCTGCCTTATGAAGTCTTCATTCTGCATCTCAAACAGACAGTAAAACAATGCTAAGAAATCTACCTGTCTCTTAAGATCTTCACGCTCAGCTAAGCTCTTCAGGTACTGATAATATTGCTGCTTTATCTTTTGGGACAGTTGGAAGCCAAAAAATGCATCCAGCCGTTGTTGTTCTTTTTCATTTAAAAGGCCAAATACAAAACAGCCCAAAAGAATCCAGTGTGTCTTTACGGTCTTTAGATAGTTAAAGAGTAGGGCCTCTGCACATCCAACGGCTGGGTGAGGGTGGTCACTGTGGCTCTTCAGTAAATAGAACATGGCAGCACAGAACTCCTGGACACGCATGTGGATGAAGGTGTAGGAGCTCTCGTCCTCCCTGCGCTTTAGAACCTTTACGCCCAGCAACATGGGGATGTCAGGGTCAGCTATTCCATTTCTCCTCAGATCGTCTTCACTGAACGCGGACGTATCAGTCCACATGCCCTCGGCAGCCAGGGAGCACAGGCTTATCAGCAGGCCTTGGCTCTGCTGGCGTGTACGACGCGCACCGCTGGATGTGAACAAGTTGAAGATGAAGGACGCAAACAAAGAGGTGGAACGTCGGCAGGCCAGGGCTAGGTCTCTCCCCTTCTCCATCTCCTGTTTCAGAGACGTGCACACGATCCAGCAGAGGAGGGGGATTTGGCACATTGAAAACAGGTGGTCATTTTCTCTTACAAAATGGAAGGCTTCCATGGCTTTATTCCTGTCTTGAAATAAACAGCAGAAATACAACTTCCTATCTGCCTCCGTGAATCCCATGAGTGTTTTAATTTCTGGACATTCCAACCTACCCTCAACCTCCCGCGGGTACTCGTGTGTGGCTGCGATAAGCAGTGAGGACTCGGAGAGCATTTTCTTCCTCAGCAAACTGCTCAGCAGCACCCGCACTGGCTGCTTCTCCATCCAGTCATTGTGCAGGTTTGACTCTGGTTCATCCAAGTCACATTTCAGCTCTTCGAAGCTGTCAATGATGAACAAGAGTCTCTCTGGTTGAAACATGATCTCTGCTATAGGTGCTGAGGAGTTGGGCCACTCCCTGGAAATCAATTCAGCCAAACTTGTTGCTGTCAACTGCTTCACTTCTCGGCAGGAGAGGTAGAAGACATACTGGAACGTATCTTGATAGAGGGTGTTCTCCGACCAGGCCAACATTAGCTTAATCAGGAGAGTTGTTTTCCCAACTCCTTGCACTCCTTTGAGGAGCACTGTACGTGATCGTTCCCCAGTCTCCTTATGAGCAAAAAAGAGTTCTAAATATTTGCATTCTTCCGGGGTGAGTTCCTGGTTAAAGTGATCATGAATCCCAGTGACTGATTCTCTGGACCATATATTGCTAAATTTCTTCTTTACGTGAGCTCGATACATCTTCATGTGTCCTGAGTCAGTGAGGACAAGAGAAAAAACACACACTGTCCAAGTTAAACACTCATACATATGTTATTTGACCCTGGAATTCTCAGAATGTGTCTTCTCAGGGATCTGCAAACTGTGGCCCCCATGACAAAGCTGTAGTTTCATGGGGAACTCAAGCATTCACTACGAGTAGTGAATGTAAGTAGCTCGTCTATAGCTGTCTTCCTGATACAACGGCAAAGTCAAGGAGCTGTGACAGACAATATACCCACGGAGCCCATAATGTGAAGCATATGGCTCCCCACAGGAGAGAAATCTGCCAACCTGTGTTTCATATAGATGAGTGTGTATATGTGCACACACAAGGCTATGAGAAAAACTGAAAAAGAACTGTATGATTATCAATAGCAGATCGGTTAAATAATTCATGAAACTGTGGTGTTACTATATGAATATTAAAAGTGTAAACAAGGGATTTAAATACAAACCGAGTTTTCTGTATATGTGCACTGTATCTGAATGCCTGTATAAGAAGTTTCTGACATGGGCAGTTGCCTCTAGGAAAGAAAATGGATGCAGTAGACATAATAAAGTGGAGTCTAAGATTCATTCCAGCTTTATTCTAGTGAGTTACCTCCCCACCCCACACACTTTTAAGGGAAGAGCACTAAAAAAGAAAACAAACAAAACCCAAACAACAACAATAGCCCTGCACTTCCCAGAATCCCTTGCAGTTAAGATTCAAGGGCAGGTTAAGTCCTGCAATTTACCCACACTGTCATGACACTAGAGGGTAGGAGGGAAGTGGAGTCCATCTTCTGCTTTTCTGTTTGGCTGCTATGAATGTGGAGACTCTGGACTTTTCAGTAATAAAATTCTGGTCTACAACAGCTATAGTCCTGGATTTAAAAAAATATATTTTTAATTTCAATTTCTTTTATACATTCAATCACATATGTCATTTAGCTTGAAAAGTGAATATTCCAACATGTACACATTTCTCACCAACCCAGTTGGCAAAGACTTCTTAAATAAGACTCTCAAAACACAGTCAATAACCCCAAAAATAGACAAGTGGATTACATTAGATTAAGACATTTCTGCACTGCCAAGGACACAATAATCAGTGTGAATCGACAGTCTGAGAACAGGAAATTACTTTTGTAAATTATGCATCAGATAAGGAACTGATAACCAGAATATGCAGGGAACTCAAGCAGTTGTCCCCCAAAAAAGATGATCAACCCTATTAAAAGATGAGAGATAGAGTTGTAAAAACCACTCTCTAAGTAAGATATACAAATAGCCAAAAGGCATATGAAAAAATGCTCAACATCCCTCATTATAAGGGAGATACAGTCCTGGATTTTAAAAAGTAGCTGCACCAGTGAACCGACTCACCTTTGAATCATAGCTAGAGGTGCATTTTAATTTTTTATTTATTTATATTTATTTACTTATCCATTTTGAAAGGTTTTTGTCTTAGGGTGCATGCACTAGCTGGAGGGACAGAGACAGAGAAAGTGATAGAGAAGGTGAGAAATCACCCCCCGGGGGGGATGACCACACCACAATCCCTTCTCCTCCATTCTCCTTTCAGGATCTTGGATACAGATGTACACACACCTGGTGTGAGTTCCAAGTAACTGGGTCCAGGGCTCAAACTGCAGTCAGCAACATAACTGCTATGCTGTCCACTGGCCCCTCGAGGTGTATTTTTAAAGGCATACTTCTAACCATGCCTTCCCACCTCCTCATACCAGGGGTCACAGCGACCTTGATGGGGTAAACTTGGAGTCATTTCTGGAGCACCAGCCTAGAGCCTGATCTTTTAGCATTCCGAAAGTTTTGGATACACAAAAATTCCTTTTAATTTTTTTCTTTAAATAATTAGTGTTATCTACAAGTGAATAGTGACTGACAGACCAGAAACATGGGGGTGGGGCTGTCATGGGGGAAAACTTTCACTATATCCCTACATAATTATTATTGGATTTGATTTAATGTAGATAAAAGGTAAAAATCTAGTACCCATAGACAGCTATTTGTGACTGGAGGTAATACTGAATTAACCCACTGGGAAGAACAATGTCTTCGCTCAATATTTCAGTGCCCTAAATTTACTGGCTGCTAAAAACGCCACCTGATGTAGGTGAGGATCACGCTACTTTCTTAAGCTTAATAAGCTCTTTGCCCGTATTCCAGTGGTTTTCTACTTCCCTGTCCTCTCAGTTGTTCTGGATATTTTGGTTATAAGTTTGGTTGTCCTGAACAGAACTGAATGAGTACAATCTCAACCCTTCTGTGTAAGATCTATTGTATCTTCAGTCCTTCTAATAGTTTACTTTAGCAATACTCTGTTATTACATTAACTTGACCATGTGCGAGCAGTTTTTAACATTTATTTTTGAAAATCAAATCAAGGATATTATCACGTACATCATTTTCAACAGAGAATTCTATGTTCTTGGGTCTGTTGAGTGTTTTCTCCCTTGCCCCTCCCAGCCACCCTCTACCATCTACTCCCTTCTCTTACAGACTCTGGTCTCTACATTTATCCTTCCTACTCTCATATTTTTGGGTCTTTCCATTTCTGCCATAGAGTGAAGATATTCAGTATATATTAAATGAGGATATACAGTGTTCGTCTTTTGAAGTCTGGCTTGCTTCACTTAGCAGTAGATCTTCCATATTCAACTACTTTGAGACAAATGCAGTGTCTCATTGTTTCTTTTGGCTTAATGGTACATTATTCACAATTGCTAAGGCATGGAATCAACCTAAGGGCATAAGAACTAAGGGCTAGATTGAAAAATCGTGGCACATATACATTATGGAATACTACTTAGCTGTAACGAACAACGAGATCCTGTGAGCTGGATCTCACTGATGAATTGATATAGATTTAATGCTAAGTGAAGTAAGCCAGACTATGAAAGACTACACCATGTATCCTCATTCAATATATACTGAATATCTGCACTCTGTGGCTCAGGGAAGAAATACTTTATAGACATAAGAATGTAAAATTCTCCTTGGAAAATTATGCATATAGTAGTAGCTTTAATTTTCACGTCACGTACTGTACACATACTTTGAAAAACTATATCATGCTATAGAGATGTACGCTAATTAAATGTGAATAAGAACTTTTTAAAAACAATTGTTCTAAGTCACTGAAGAGCTAGGGAAACAGATGACCTTGAATAGCCAAAATTCAGGAGATAGAGGAGCTCAACATTTTGCCAATTGTTATCCTTTTGGCATTTGCCTCTAAAGTGCCTGAGAAACTGAGCAGACATAAAGGACTAAAGCTCCCTGAACCACATCAGACTTTTGGCAGTTTCGAGGGGGCAGGAGACAAAAGATGGCATTCAATACATGGTAAGGATTGGGGCGGGGGGGGGGTAAACACATTAGTTTTTTTTTTTTTTTTGGGGGGTAGTGACTGACAGACCAGAAACATGGGGGTGGGGCTGTCATGGGGGAAAACTTTCACTATATCCCTACATAATTATTATTGGATTTGATTTAATGTAGATAAAAGGTAAAAATCTAGTACCCATAGACAGCTATTTGTGACTGGAGGTAATACTGAATTAACCCACTGGGAAGAACAATGTCTTCGCTCAATATTTCAGTGCCCTAAATTTACTGGCTGCTAAAAACGCCACCTGATGTAGGTGAGGATCACGCTACTTTCTTAAGCTTAATAAGCTCTTTGCCCGTATTCCAGTGGTTTTCTACTTCCCTGTCCTCTCAGTTGTTCTGGATATTTTGGTTATAAGTTTGGTTGTCCTGAACAGAACTGAATGAGTACAATCTCAACCCTTCTGTGTAAGATCTATTGTATCTTCAGTCCTTCTAATAGTTTACTTTAGCAATACTCTGTTATTACATTAACTTGACCATGTGCGAGCAGTTTTTAACATTTATTTTTGAAAATCAAATCAAGGATATTATCACGTACATCATTTTCAACAGAGAATTCTATGTTCTTGGGTCTGTTGAGTGTTTTCTCCCTTGCCCCTCCCAGCCACCCTCTACCATCTACTCCCTTCTCTTACAGACTCTGGTCTCTACATTTATCCTTCCTACTCTCATATTTTTGGGTCTTTCCATTTCTGCCATAGAGTGAAGATATTCAGTATATATTAAATGAGGATATACAGTGTTCGTCTTTTGAAGTCTGGCTTGCTTCACTTAGCAGTAGATCTTCCATATTCAACTACTTTGAGACAAATGCAGTGTCTCATTGTTTCTTTTGGCTTAATGGTACATTATTCACAATTGCTAAGGCATGGAATCAACCTAAGGGCATAAGAACTAAGGGCTAGATTGAAAAATCGTGGCACATATACATTATGGAATACTACTTAGCTGTAACGAACAACGAGATCCTGTGAGCTGGATCTCACTGATGAATTGATATAGATTTAATGCTAAGTGAAGTAAGCCAGACTATGAAAGACTACACCATGTATCCTCATTCAATATATACTGAATATCTGCACTCTGTGGCTCAGGGAAGAAATACTTTATAGACATAAGAATGTAAAATTCTCCTTGGAAAATTATGCATATAGTAGTAGCTTTAATTTGATTGTCACGTACTGTACACATACTTTGAAAAACTATATCATGCTATAGAGATGTACGCTAATTAAATGTGAATAAGAACTTTTTAAAAACAATTGTTCTAAGTCACTGAAGAGCTAGGGAAACAGATGACCTTGAATAGCCAAAATTCAGGAGATAGAGGAGCTCAACATTTTGCCAATTGTTATCCTTTTGGCATTTGCCTCTAAAGTGCCTGAGAAACTGAGCAGACATAAAGGACTAAAGCTCCCTGAACCACATCAGACTTTTGGCAGTTTCGAGGGGGCAGGAGACAAAAGATGGCATTCAATACATGGTAAGGATTGGGGCGGGGGGGTTGTAAACAAATTAGTTTTTTTTTTTTTTTTGGAGAGGTTTTCGCTATAGGGTGCGTGCACTCACCAGACAGACAGAGAGAGACATAGAGACAGAAAGCGAGAAATCACCCCCCGGGGGGGGGATAGTCACGCCGCAATCCATTCTCCTCTCGGGATCTTGGGCATGCACACACACGCGCCCGGCACGAGTTCTAAGCCACTGGGTCTGGGACGCGAACCGTGGTCGACTACGTGGGAGTCCAGCGACATAGCCATTACGCCAAGTGCTGGTTCCCAACACAGATTTTCAGTTGAGATGCTAGATGGTTACCATTTGGAAATAAGTGGAAACCAGAAACAGAACATTCATTGCAACAATAAAACCTAACTTTAAATTATTTTAAACCTCAGGATTAAGGAAATAGTCCCCTAATTGCCATCAGGAACAATTCCAATTTATCTAGAAGAAGTTGTCTTACAAGCCTCAACAATCTCTCCAATGTCTTATACTCAAAATATGGCACTCAAAATTACCAAGCATACCAGAAAGTAAAACCACATGATCAAAAACAAGGAGAAAAATAGTAGAAAATGAGTTATAAAGGTCAAAAAATTTCAGACAGATTTTAAAATAATTAAAGATGTTTTTAAAAATAGGGTGGACATTCAGAATAGAAATGTGTGAAAAAAAACCCAATGGATAACTGCATAAATAAAATATAACTGAATTTTTTAAAAACTCCAACAGATGGGTTTCTAATCAACAGATTAGAAACAGCTCAAAGGGAATTAGAACATAAAATTAGTTACAAATGAACACTTAAAGTGCAGTACAGAGACAAAGAGGTAAAAAAATGTGGAAAACAGACACATGGAAACAATATAAAGATCTAATATGCATAATTAGAGTCCTTGAAGAAGGAGAAGAAATAATGGGTTAGAAATAATTAAAGAAATGATGACTGAAACTGGAAACTATATATTGTTATTGAACCTGACGTGAGAACATCAGGGAGCCTTGGGGCCAGCAGACGGCATGATGGTCACGTTGCTGGACCCCCATGCAGTTGACTGTGGTTTTCATCCCGACCCAGCGGCTTGAAAAACTCATGCCAGAAGCATGTGTGTACATGCCCAAAATCCTGAAAAGAGAATGGAGGAGAAGGCATTGTGGCAGGCCATTCCCCCATGGGAGGGGATTCTTGTTTTCTGTTTCTCTGTCTCTGTCTGTCTCTCTAGCAAGCACATGTGCCCTATAGCAAATATCTCTCCCTCTCAAAAAAAAAAAAATATCAGGGAGTTTCAAAAAGGATAAACACAAAGAAAGTCACATTTAAGTACACCATAGTAAGACAGCTAAGCATCGAAGACAAAAAGAAAACCTAACAAGTTTAAAAAGCTACTTTCTGCTATTGATATCTTAAATGCAAAGTAACAGTAACACTTTATATCGGGAAAAATATGAATGAACTTCAAAAAGCTCATGGAAAATGCAATTAATGTATAGGCTTGTTTTGGTGCAAAATTTTTGAAATCCACATAATAATGTTTTCATAACATGCATTTCCCATGAAATTTCTGAAGGCTGCATATAAATATGACCTTCAAGACTATAATGATTATTGGGACCAGCAGTTAGCATAATGGCTATGTCAGTGGACTCCCACATAGTCGACCGTGGTTCGAGTCTCGGACCCGGTGGCTTAAACTCACACCAGGCGTATGTGTGTGTGAGCCCAAGATCCCAAGAGGAGCATGGAAGAGAAGGGATTGCGGTGTGGCCATCCCCCTGGGGATGATTTCTCGCTTTCTGTCTCTCTGTCTCTGTCTGTCTGGTGAGCGCACGCGCCCTATAGCAAAAATCTCTCCAAAAAAAAAAAGACTATAATGATAATGATTATTGATAATATCTTATCTGACATGAGATTTTACTTGTTAAATATTAAAATACATATACATGTGACGATGATTCGTAAGTCTTTTTTTTTTTTTTTGAGAGGTTTTTGCTATAGGGTGTGTATGCTTGGCAGAAAGACAGAGAGAGACAGTGAGACAGAAAGCAAGAAATCACCCCCTGGGGGGATGTCCTCTCCTCCATTCTCCTCTTGGGATCTTGGGCACGCGCGCACACATGTCCAGCATGAGTTTAAGCCACCAGGTCTGGGACTCGAACTGCGGTCGACTACATGGGAGTCCAGCGACACAGCCATTATGCCAACTGCTGATTTCTAAGTCTTGACCACTGGCATTCTATAGGTTTTGTATAATCACATGATTATCTTATATAGTCTCAGTTTACCGCGTAATCTACAGCAAATGTTAATTGCTGTTGCTAATGGTCCAGACCATGAGTCTCTGCCACAACTTCACCTGAGAGTTTCTTGCCTGGGTATAAGTTCTCCGTTTAGGGAAGAATTATTATTGACTCAGAAGTAGAGGAACAACATACAGGAGCTCGTGGTCGCTCTCTACTTGGTCATCTGAAAAGTCCTGACGTATTTTCTATGCAATGATTGAATTCCGTGTCAGCATCTCTGGTCGTCAGGTCTAAGTGACGCTACCTTCTACGTACAAGGATGACATTTACACAGCGCTTTCCGGTCCCATCTAAATGGGCACAGGGACCACCTATCCAAACTGTGGCCTGCTCCTTACGACAAGCAGCCCTGCATCCCAGACTCACCTGTGCGCTCTCTCTCAGCTTTCTCACAGAGATCCTTCCTGCTGATCTGGTGAAAGATCCTGAAGGTTACGTCCCATGCTTGCTGTTCCTCATAATGCTCGATCAACAGGTTCGCAAGGTCTTCGCGGGAAGCTTTTTTCACTTCAGTCCAGGGAATTTGCTTGAGTCCAAGTTCCAAAGTCTCTTTTTTGAGGTGCTCTTTGAATTTCCTGAATTCCTCCTTTCTGAGTTCCTCCAGATACCACATAAGGCCAAAATCAGAAAAGAAAGATGAAGCCATCGTGTCCAGAGGAGAGATACCAATTTTCAGAGAGACGAATACCAAGAATTAGAGATAAATGGAACCTGTGGAAAATTCAGGCAATACCAAATGATTCAGAATGTGTGGGTCAAGGTCACCAATTTTTATACAGTATTTTGCTCGTCTTGTGGAAGACCAGGAGGGCAGAAAGTTCTTTAGACAAGACTCATCTCACCTCATGGATATAGTCATGAAGAGAGTGATACCTAAAATATAATTCAACATTTTAAAAAAATACCCAAAAGAACCCCAACTCTGCTGATGATGCCCAACAGAGATACTGGGTCATTGGAAAAGTCATGACATCCTTTTTTTTTTTTTTTTTTTTTAGAGGTTTTTGCCTTAGGGCATTTGAACTTGCCAGAGAGAGAGAGACAGTCAGACACAGCGAGGGGGAAAGCAAGGAATCGCTCACCCGCCCCCAGGGAGATGGCCATGCCGCAATCCCTTCTCCATTTTCCTCCTGGAATCTTGGGCATGGACGCACACACGCCCAGCATGAGTTTCAAGCCACTGGGTCCAAGACTTCAACTTAGGTTGGTCATGTGGGAGTCCAGAGATGTAACTGCTACAGCATCGGCTGGCCCCAGTCCTAATGCATTTTTTTAAAAAGAATTATTTAACTTTCTCTCTCTCTCTCTCCCCTCCTTCCTCCCCTTCCTCCCTCCCTCCTCCTCCTCCTCCTCATTCTTTTTAATTTGACCAGAGAGGGACAGAGAGAGAGAAGGAAAAAGAGAAAGCAAGCTGCCAAGTCCAGGACTCCAACCGTGGGTGGCCATGTGGGAGTCCAGCGCCCTTAACCATCGTGTCACCTGCGGGCCCCAGTCACGATGTATTTTTACATAGAAAAGCACGCTATGACTTTCCAATGGCGTAATACATGATATATACAAAACGTCCAGTGTCAGTACCCTGAAAAGCTAAACAGATAAATTCCCGGTGTAAGTCAGATTAAAAGATAAACCAGATCATCTAAGACTGTCCAAATAAAGGCTTATATTGTGATTCAACACAACTACAGAAGAAATTAAGATTGAAATACAAAAATTCATTGAGGGGCCAGCAGGTGGCAAGGTGATTAAGGCACTAGACTCCCATACGGCTGACCACATTTCAAGTCTTGGACGTGGAGGATTGTTTTCTCACTTTGCTTCTCACTCTGTCTCTCTCTCTCTCTGTCTCTCTGTGAGGGCACAGGCCTTATAGCAAATTAAATAATAATAAATAAAATAAAATAAATAATTCTTAAAAATGTTTTTAATAAAAAATATTCATTGAAATGAATGATAACAAACACATGTCTCCTTAAGCTATGGGACACAGGAAAGCAGTCAGAAGAGGGACGTTTATAACACTTAGTGCTCACAAGAAAAAACAGAGCAAGTTGGCAAATAAACAATCTAAGGACACATTTCAAGTAACTGTATAAATAACCAAAAAAAAAAAAAAGAAAAGAAAGGTGCCAGAAGAGACTAAATAATAAAGATCAGAGCAGAGGAGAGAAGTAGAGAGTCTGATGACCGGAGTATGCAGAAAATAAGTGAGACCAAAAACTGTTTGAGAGGATAAAGAATATCGACATATCGTTACCTAACCAAGAACAGGGGAAGGAACCAGAAAAATAAAATTAGCAATGAAACAGGCAATATTACAACAGATAGATCAGAAATACAAAAATCATGAGAGAATACTATGAGTGACTGTAAGCCAATGAACAAAAAACCCTAGTTGAGATGGATAAATTTCTGGACCCATGTAACTTACCAAGATTGAACCAGGAATAAAGAGCTTGAATAGACCAATAACAATCAATGAGATGTAATCAGTAGTAGACTCCCAATAAAGAAAAGCCTATATCCCAATGGCTTCATTTCAAACTCTACAAACTTTTCAAGAAGAGCTAGCCCTAATTCTCCTCAAACTAAGTTCTGAAGTACTCAAAAGTAAGGAAGCCTTCCAAATTAATTCTATGAAGTCTCCATCAACCCTGGTTCCCAAAATAGACAAGGACAGAACAACAGAAAGAAAACTATAGACTAATATCCCTGATGAGTACAGGTGCGAAAATTCTCAATAAGATACATATTTACACTGGAAAAAACATGGTTTTTTTCCATGTTGTACACTGTAAAGATGTACAGTGATTAAATGTAAATTGAAAAATAAATTTAAAAAGAGTTTTATGCTGGGGGAACCAGCAGTTAGCGTAATGGCTATGTCGCTGGACTCCCACATAGTCGACCACGGTTCGAATCCCGGACCTGGTGGCTTAAAACTCACGCCGGGCACATGTGCGTGTGTGCCCAAGATCCCGAGAGGAGAATGGAGGAGAAGGGATTGTGGTGTGACCATCCCCCCTGGGGGGTGATTTCTCGCTTTCTGTCTCTATGTCTCTCTCTGTCTGTCTGGCGAGCGCAAGCGCCCTATAGCGAAAACCTCGCAAGAAAATAAAAAAGAGTTTTATGCTGGGACCAGCAGTTAGCGTAATGGCTATGTCGCTGGACTCCCACATAGTCGACCACGGTTCGAATCCCGGACCTGGTGGCTTAAAACTCACGCCGGGCACATGTGCGTGTGTGCCCAAGATCCCGAGAGGAGAATGGAGGAGAAGGGATTGCAGCGTGATCATCCCCCCTGGGGGGTGATTTCTCGCTTTCTGTCTCTCTGTCTCTGTCTGTCTGTCTGGCAAGCGCACAGGCCCTATAGCAAAAACCTTTCTCCAAAAAAAAAAAATAGTTTTATGCCAAAAAAACTAGCAAATCATATCAACAACACACATAAAATATTATACACAATGACAGAGAAGGCTCTATTGCAGGGATACAAGGGTGGTTCAACACAACAGAAAACAATAAATGTAATATGTCACATTAATGGAAGATAAAAACTATATTATCCTATCAATTGATGCAGAAAAAGCATTTGATAAAATACAGCATCCATTCATGATTAAGACACTCAGTAACACTGGCATAGAAGAGACATTTCTCAACAAAATAAAAGCCAAATATAACAAACCGATAGCTAACGTCATACTGAATGGAACGAAGCAGGGCGCCCTCTTCCCATTCCTCTTCAACATAGTACTGGGAGTCTGAGCCAATGCAGCCAGACAAGAGAGTGAAATGAAAGCTATTTGAACAGGAAAATAATAAGTGAAATGATCTCTATTTGTAGATGACATGATCATGTACATAGAAAATCCAAAAGATTCCATTAAAAAACTCCTAGAAGTGATAATCAGTACAGTAATGTGGCAGAATACAAAATTAACATACAAAAATGGATACATCAACAATGAGCTGAGAGAGTTAGACTTGAAAAAAGCAATCCCATTTACAATAGCCACAAAAAATAAGATACCTAAGAATAAACCAAATAAGTGAGAGACCTCTACAAGGAAGACTATAAAAAAACTAAGGAAAAAAATTGAAAATGATACACAAAAGTAGAAAGACATTCCATGTTTCTAGGTTGGAAGAATTAATATAATCAAAATGTCAATTTAATTTTTAATTCAATGCAATTCCAATCAAATTACCAGAGATACTGTTTGCAGAAATAGGAAAAGAAATCATAAAAGTAGTCTGGAATCATAAAAGACCCCATATCACCAAAGCAATACTTTGCAAAAATAGAATAAAATAGAGGGCATCTCACTTCCTGACCTCAAAATACACTACAAAGCCGTGATAATCAAAATAGCGTTACTGGTGCAAAAACAGGCACGTAGAGTAATGGAACAAAATAAAGAAGCCAGGAATAACCCCTCAAACATACAATCAACTGATTTTTGACAAAGGGCACAAGATAATCCAGTGAGGAAAAGAAAATCTCTTCAGCAAATAATGCTGGAAAAACTGGATAGCTACCAACAGAAAAGTGAAATTTCACTCCTACCTCTCACCATAAAAATAATCAACTCGCAATGAACTTGATCTAAATGTGAAATCTCAAATTATAAAGTTACTCATAGGAAACACAGGGGAAACTCTTGGAGACACCGGAGTAGGCAAAGACTTTTTAAATAAGATCTCCAAAGCACAGCCAATAATCCCAGAAATAGACAAGTGGGAATACATCCTTCTGCACAGCAAAAGGAACAATAATTAGAGTGAATCAACAACCCTCAGAATGGGAGAATTTATTTGCAAACCATGGCTCAGATATGAGACTGAAAACCAGAATATACAGAAAACTCAAGCAGCTTAATCCCTCAAAAAAGATAAACCAAATTAAAATATGGGCAAATGACCTGTACAGACAACTTTCTAAGGAAGACATACGACTAGCCAAAAGCATATGAAAGAATGCTCAACATCACTTATAACAGAGATGCAAATCAAAACAGTAATAAGATACCACTTAATCCCAATCAGAATGGCTAGGATTAAAAAAATACAGAATGGCAAGTGCTGGCAAGGATCATGAAAAGGGAACACTCCTACACTGTTGGTGGGAATGCAGATGAGTCCGGCCACTGTGGAGAACAACATGGAAAGCCCAGAAAACTACAGATAGAACTACCATCTGACCTAGTAATTCCACTCCTGGGTATTTACCCCAAAGATAGAAAAACACTTGCACATCCATGTTTATTGCGGCATTATTCACAATCGCTAAGACATTGCAATCAACTCAAATGTCCAAGAACAGATGAACGGATTGAGAAAGTGTGGCACAAATACTCTATGGAATACTACTCAGCCATAAAAAAATTAGACTGCAGCATTTGACAGAAAGTGGATGAACATGGGGACCAGCTAATGGTGTAACGGTTACATTGCTGGACTCCCATGTAGTAGACCACAGTTTGGGTCTCAAATCCAGTGGCTTGAAACTCATGCCAGGCAAGCATGCATGTTTGCCCAAGATCCTGAGAGGAGAATGGAAGAAGGGATTGTGGCGTAGTCATCACCCCGGGGCGGCGGGGGCGGGGGGGTGGGGTGGGGAGTGATTTCTCACTTTCTGTCTCTCTG